TTCCTTACTGCTCTGTTCACACTTCGATCTCAGCATCCCCCCATCTTTCTGTAGGGAACTTTCTTAATAGACAACTCCACTCCTTGCAAATCAAGCTGGTTAAGAGAAAAAGTCTTGACTGTGAAGGCTTGAAATCCAAATAAGTTATCACTTACTGGAACAGGTTGTTTGGGACACACCTTCCATCTCTGCAGCGGAAGTAGGAGGCTCAGTTCAAGGTCAAGCTCAGCTACACAATTTCAAGACCAGCCTGGGCTATAAGGTCTTGTGTCAAAAGAAGAAAAAAAATAGTTCTAATATAGTAGTGACTTTGTTCCCTGGGACAGAGGAAGTTCATTTGTTGAGTGGGGTGTTACTCATCCTTGATATCACTGCTAGCTGCTTAACAGTTCTTGGAGAACACAAACAAACTTTCACTTATTGTGTGGGAGATAAGATTATGGGACACAATATAGGCTGATTGATGTTTATTCGGGAAGAAATCACTTATACCAGAAATGACCATCATGGGTTCCCACTCCAAGGATGTCCCCGGATGCTCTGTCTCCAATTGGGAATGGAGCTGGAGTCCGGCACCCCAGACCTAGATTCCACAGGTCTCGTTTGCACCTGTCCCCATGCCCCAATGGGTGTGCAGTGCAACAGGATATCTTACTGCATTGGCTGGACTGCCTTCCCCAGCTCTGCTGTAAGACAGTGACTGAGGATGGTAGCGATGGTGTCCTGACAGACACTTCAGGGCTGGTTTGGCTCTAGGGTTGGCACATAGAAGTGAACTCCTTGTGTTGGGAACTTGGGGAGATGCAGCGTATTACCTTAAACTCTTTAGACAGAGGTTCGGAGGCATGAGAGTGTAGGCCTTGTCTCCTCACTACGGTGCCTTTGCTCCTGCTCTGCTCTCTCTACCTCCAGTCGCCCAGAACTTTCCTTATGGGGGTGTGATCTTTTGGTATTGACTTCCACATGTGCAACAATGCTGTATGTAGACTTACCGTGTCTCAGAAGCCTGTGATGTCTTCTCAGAACTTTAGCCACTTTAAGTCAGGCCCAAAGCTGGACTTTGTGGTTTGGCTTCCCCTGACCCAAGGCCTGGTTATTAAGAAGGATGTGTCAGGACATGTCTGCAGGTGCTGGAAAAACACCCTCCATCAGCAGCATGCTTGGTTGGTAGTGGTGTCAAAGACTGAGTCTCAAACTGTAGCCCAAGATGACCCAAATTTGTGATCCTCCTGCCTCTGCCTCCCTTATGCTGGGATTATAGGCATGAGCTGTAGCCCTACATCAGAATTATATTTTTGGCAGCAGGAACAGGGGTGAAAGCCTCTACAGTACCCAGTCTGAAGGAGCAGCATCCCCAGCTGACTGCTGGAGCTAAGGTCTTATTTAGAAGCAAGCACACAGTTGCCTGCTTCTGATGAATTTTCTTTTCAGAATTAATTAGTTATTATTTTATGTGTGTTTCTTCCCTACATGTGTAGCTGAGCATTAGGTTCATGCCTGCTGCCCATAAAAGTCAGAAGAGGGCACAGGGGTTACAGTTGTTAGCCACCGTAAGTGATGGGAATCCAGATCTTTGGAAGAACAGCCACATTAAGTACTTAACTATTTTCTCCAGGAACATCAAAATCTTTAGACATCCTGGAACTCATTCTGCAGACCAGGCTGGCCTCGAACTCAAGAGATCCACCTGCTTCTACCTCCTGAATGCTGGGGTTAAATGTGTGGGCCATCACCACCTGGCTCAACTTTCTTATTTTAAAAAGAGCCTCCTTGGGGGGAGAAGGGGCTGGAGAAATGGCTCAGGGTTAAGACACTGCCTGTTCTTCCAGAGGTCCTGAGTTCAAGTTCCAGAAACCACATGTAATGAAGTCTGGTGCCCTCTTCTGGCCTTCTTGGAGCTAAGAAACAATAGCTAAGGTCTTCTGTTCATGCTGCAAGGCAGACTTTGTGCTGAGTCATTCCTTTCAACAGGCAGAAGAAACTCGGGTAACTTGCCAACAAAGGCAATGGCAAGTATGGTGATCTGAGGCAGGAGGCCAAGCCTAGGTCCTTTCTTTAAACTACAGGCCTATCCCTTAGTATTTATGCCCACACCTGGGCTGTCACCATCCATTTTCTCTACCTTGTCTACCATAAGAGAGGAGATACCTGCATGGCTGTGACACTGTGGCTCTCACAACAATGCCTCGGCCTTCTATGAGGTCACACATTTCTCTTATGAGGTCCCACCTTTCCTACAGCTGACGTATCACAATCTGTAACTGTCTGCCAGGTTACAAATGGCTCTTCGGCATTGTAAAACCATCTTTCTTGATCCTGGGTTCTGGAATACAACACACAGAGTACTTTTTCCTCTTCTGTCTGTTTTCCCCAGACACCAGCAGGTAAGAATCATGAGTTTTGTGTTGCTCAACACCAAACCCTAACATGATAGCAGCTGAATGGATGTGGAGAATGAGGTAAGAATGAGATTATTAAATTCCTGACTGTAGAGAATACAGCAAGTTATTAATTGGGTGATGTAAGCATGAACTGTGGACAGCTGTGGCTTTGTTTTCCACAGATAAAGAGACATAAAGCTTTAAAAAAAAAAACCCTGGAGAATCCAAAGCAAGGATGAAATCAGTTTAAGACAGGACATTCCAGATACTTAGCCACCTTCACTCCTCAATCAAATGTCACCAGACACAATTAAACCGAGAAAAGTTTTAATAACACATACACATACATTTAGAGGACTTTAAACAAGACATAGTATAAAATCTTAAAGAAATGGCGGTGGGGTGGGGGAGGAAACATTGCATTTACTGTCTAAGAGCTAGTGGATTAACTGGCTGGCAATGCCGGGAACTGACAGGCAGATGAGCTGTGCCTGTACCATCGGGCAGCACACTCCCTGGGATTGGACTGCGCTGACTGATTTACATGCCCACCATCTACACCCTATACTGCCTCCTGAGAGACAAGCCAAGTCAGTTCTCTTAACTCAGCCGCTTGTCAATGAGTCACTTTTCAAATGTAAAAAAATTACTCTCGGTTTAAAAGACTCCACACATTATTTATTACTGGCCAGTCCTCTCCAATTGTATCTATTTTGATTGGGAAGAGAAAAAACAAAACAAAAAGCAAATGCTTCAATAGAGCCTGGATGGTAACACACTATCTTATCTATCTTTTACTGGGGATATATATATATATATATTTTTTTTTTTTGTAAAGTCAAAAGCAAGCTACTACTTGCACTTCAAACAAAAACAAAATGCCAACCTTCCAAGAGGTGACGGGCACCACTGCCACCAGGAGGAGATAAGACAGACAAATGCACAGATGCTGACGTTAGTGCTAACACAGATGACTTGTGTGTGGAGCCTCTTCACGTTACGTTATTACAGAACTGTATTTTCAGATAACAAGAAAAGCAGGTTAGAAAAGGCAAACAGTTACACACAAAAGCATAAACACAAGTACTTTAATTTTCAGCTTGCAGTAAGGGTAATAAGTTTGACATACACATCCAGAAAATTAGACAAGGTGATTTTTGGCACAGTAAGATTGCCAAACACACCACCACTCAGTGCAAGCTTTGTTTGCCAAGTCCCAAATGAGGCCTGACATTCTTTGTGCAATGAGCATTTTCTCCCTCTTTACTATCCCATTTTCTGGGCGACAACAGCTGGAGGGAGACAAAGCATGGGGACTCAGAAGGAGATGGAAAACACTTGATTTGGGAGAAAAACCATGAACTACTTGTGCTAAAACAGAATCACAAAATTTCTATGAGAACCCAAATGCAAATACTGACTGGACTATGACCTGGAGACTGAAGGCTGCTACCAGAGTCATAAATACAAGGGCCTAAACTGTTGTCTGGCCATTTAAAGGGAAGGATAAAGCATTTTTCTCTCACGGAGAAAGACAATTGAAAATAGATTTTACTCTTATTGGAACTGCTAAATAAGAATGTATCAAAGTGGTTTTAAATTTGATGGGTGGTTATCAGTTGAAACTGCAATATAAAAGGGTCACTTAAAAACCTGAATAACCCACTTGTCCCCGTCAATGTACACAATAGAAAATATTTACACACTGTAATTACAAGCGATATAAGCAGATTTTTATACTTTTGAGATTTTGTACACTTTACACAATGCAAAATGAGAAAAATATGAACACTTATAAAATTACACACAAATAATGTATCTACAAGGTATTAAATTACAGAGTGAAAGCCCCCATTGTTGGGCAGATAGATGCCAGAGTTTCAAGCTTCTGTCAAATATAACTCTTTGTATCTATCTCTTTAACCATAGTGGCATTTTGTAATAATACCCTTGAGAGGTAGCATCAAGATACTATTCTTACCGGTAAACTCAACACAGAAGAAAACTTTTGTTGGTCTGACTCTTGGAGCCTCAATCAGCCTCAGTTCTTGAAAATTTGATTTGTTCAGTCTTCCCTATAAAATCTCTAACTGCCCAATGCTTGATATGAGCTCAACAGTTACTAATGTTATTTTAAATGATAAATTTAAGATAAAATGGTTTCTATTCCTAAGCCTCAATTTAGAGGTAGAAAGTTAGCTCTCAGAACTTATTTTCTCCTCTCAAACCATAAACATTGAGCCCAGCCCCCTTCTCACCCCAACCTGGCCCTACACAGACATTAGCATGCTCACATTAGCAAGCCACTTAAGCCAGTTTTCAAAGAATAAGCAGTTGGTATCCCTTTCAGGGAGCAAACCCTCCCTAAACAGACTTCAGTCAACAAGAGTGTTACTACCAAATGTTTCAGGAGCCTCAGGCTCAATCTAGCAAGTGCACCTCTGCTAACCCTCTACCATCTAAACTAAAGGATGGCTTTCCAGTGTTTAAAAGAATTTAGAGCAGCTGTGGTTTTCAAGTGCAACAACTTCAAGATACAAACATTCAAGTGAACGCGCGCATGAGCACACGCGCACACACACGCACGCACGCACACACACACACACACACACACACACACACACACACACACGTACGTCCCCAAATAAGCATCATCAAAGTCTCTGCTAAATTATATACTCACGGGAACAAGGTTTTGGAGACTTCCAGATTTTTAAGCCTTTATACAGAGACTTCTGTAATATAGTTACCAATGGCCAGAACTCTGGCTTAGCTAAGATTTATGACTGAACCAGTATTTTAAAAACATATGCATTTACAAGAAATCTTAAACAAACTGCCCATGAATGTTCTGGCATTTTAAAAACAGCCACTACTTTGTAGCTTAATCTCATCCTCTAAGGGCAATCTGACAGCTTGTTTGTTCCTTAATTGACTTTAAATAGATTTAAAAACTTCAGATTTATAATCTCGAATAGTAAAGGGACAATGTATGGACTGAAACTGCCTATAGTTTACAGAGTTACAGAAGACCCACACTTCTGATTATAGAACTCTATTCTAGCCTTTCCCTTTGTACCCTAAAATAACTAAGAGGGAAATGAAAACCAGCTGGACCTTGGCCTTTCTTTCAATGTCCAACTCCTCAAGTTGGTCCACACTTTTCCTTATTTTCTGTGATGATCCAAGTGCTACGACACCACCTAACATGATAACTGCTGAAAAGTTAACAAGTGCTAGGAAGGGCAGGCTGGATTCTTCTACCAGCTGAGCCTACCTCTACCCTCCTTTTATAGGCCCCCCGATCCTTCCTCTCAGGTCAGCTGCAAATGGCATTTTATATCGGCTTCAGAAATGGCGAAGTCTCCATCACCAGCGGTACACAGCTGTGTTCCTTAGCATCTGCTGGGTCTCACAGTAACCCTCTTGCAAAGACCCCTCTGTTTTTGTATTTCTGCTGCTGTAACTCCTGTTAAGAATCTGGCACCCAGAAGTCATGAAGCTGCCCCTGGAGAAAGGGGGGAAAGGGAAAATTTAATCAGACTATGAATTAATCCTTTTAATCACTGGACAGCAGGCTTTGATAATGAAAGCAGAAAAATCATCATATATACACATCTCTGGAAGCATCTTGTGTGGACACAGGCTTTTACTATTAGCCCTGGCCAGCCTTGAGCTCCCAGAGATCTGCCTGCTTCTTCTGCCTTTCAAGTGTTGGGACTAAAAACACAAAGCCACCATGCCCAGCTGAAAATTTATGATTTTACAACCTTTACACTTTGTGCTCTGGCAACAAAAAGGAATAATACAAATACAGAATATTTTTTTTTATCATGAGCATACTCACAAAGGGATATATTTAAGGAGATTAATATGTTAAACTGATTAATGTAAAGTTTTGCTATTAATGCCACATTGGCACAGAGCCTTAACGTTTTATTGAGGGAACTGGAGAGATGGCTCAATGGTAAACGACACTGACCACTCTTCCAGAGGACCTGGATTTGATCCCCAGCACTCACATAGCAGCTCACAAATGTCCATAACTCCAGTCCCAGGAGATCTGATACTTTTTGGCTTCCAAGGTTACCCAGTATGCAAGAGGTACATAGACATGCATGAGACAAAACACTCATACACACAAGGTTAAAAAAAAAAAAAAAAAAAAAAAAACAACAAACAAACAAACAAAAAAAAAAACCAAAAAGGCCCATAACACTGCACTTGGTACAAGTCTTCCTAGCATGCATAGGGCTCCAGATCTGATCCTCAGCTCAGAATGAACAGGATATGGTGGTGTATACATGCAATCCTAGCAGTAGAGGAAGAGAGATCAGAAGCCCAAGGTCACCCTTGGTGACACAGAGTTCAAGGGCAGCCTGAGCCCCACACAAACACTGAAATGCTTTGAGATACAGAGATTGTACCCAGAATATGTTCAGGGTGTTTTCCTTTGAACACATATTTACACAAAAGCTTGTATATAAATGTTAAAGGAAATATTTTTCCTCTTCCTTCCTTCCTTCCTTCTTTTTTTTTTGCAGAGTTCCTCTGTGTAGCCTTGGCTGCCCTGGAACTAGCTCTATAGACCAGGTTGGCCTTGGGCATGAAGGTGGGAGGGGAATCGGGAGGGACTCCCGAAGTTCCAGTGTGGTGATCGCTACACTGGTCACCATAGACGAAGCGGGAAGATGTACAACATGCATTTTACCTTAACACAAGTGTTAGATTACTCATGAAATAACCTCCCCTTGAAGCAATCTGACACTTTTAAATGTATTCAAAAAACCCTAAAAACCAGACACAAACCATACCACCATGCAGTGGGTTTCATAATAAAATAAAACCGTTAAATAAAAGACACCTGAGTAGGTCGACAGTTCTGGATTATTTCCTGCCATTTTCCATGTATCCGGGCAACCAAATCTTTCACCTTAAAAATAACAAGAGGAAATGATATCACAGATCAGAGTATGCTCACTTAAAATCAACTTAACGTTGGCTAGAAAGCTTCTCACAGTTGCTGTTATGGAGGTGCGTGGCTGCACTCCCAGAACTAAGGGGGAAGCTCACAGTCCAAGGCCAGGCTGAGCTGTAGTGTGAGGTCCTGCTTCAAAAAACCCAAACAAAAAGTAACAATACATATAGTAAACAAAACACAAAGTAAATATAAAAGCCACATATATCTCATAGCTATCACAGGCCCATACCCAACAATTTTATTTGATTGCAGTCAAGAAAAGGCTACTCATCTTTTGGGGAGGCTTCCAAATGGCAACATGTTTTATAACCATAATTTATGTTTTCACAGTCTAAAATGTCAAATTATGACTTAGTTTTCTTGTTTGTTTTTTTTGAGAAAGGGTGTCTATATATAACCCTGGCTGTCTTGAAGCTACCTCTGTAGACCAGGCTGGCCTCAAGCTCAAGAGATCCACCTGCCCAATTCCTGAGTGCTGACGTCAGGTGTGAGCCACAATACCGCGTAGTCTTAATTATATTTCATTTTATGTTTGTGGGTGTTGTGCCTACACCAAGGTCAGAAGGGGGCTTCAGACCCCTGGAACTGGAGCCATCACATACAGATGGTTGTGAGCTTTCATGTCGGTGCCGAGACTGGAAGAGTAGTCAATTCTCTTAACCAGTCCTTAATTTCCTTTTTAAAAATTATTATTCTATGAGACAGGATTGCCCTATATAGAGAACCCTGGATAGCCTTAAATTTAAAGACATTTTTCTGCCTTTGCCTCCCAAATACAGGGATTACAACAATGTACCACACCTGATTCCTGTTACTAAAGATCGTCCAGATGGTCCAGAGAACTACAACTCTGTCTTCAAAGAAATTTCTATTTTCTTTTCTTTCTTTTTTTTTTTAAAGCTTTTTATTTATGTATTTATTTAGGTATCAGTGTCAGAAGAGGGTATCAGATCTTATTATAGATGATTGTGAGCCAACATGTGGTTGCTGGGAACTAAACTCAGGGGCTCTGGAAGAGCAGCCAGTGCTCTTAACCTTTGAGCCAACTCTTCAGCCTGAGATTTCTACTTTCTACTCTCTGGCTTTTGAAACCCCAGCTAGGGAAGCTGAAGGGTGAACTGTTTTATAGGGTCCAATGCATTGGCTGTTCCCAGCTTTACCATAGCTTGGCTTTAAAAGGCTCAACAGAAAGACAACAACAACAACAACAAAATATAGGATATGGCTCAGGAGTTAAGAGCACTTGTTACTCTAACAGAATACAGGTTTGAGTCCCAGGACCTACATGGTAGCTCACAACCATTTATAACCCCAGATCCAGGGAATTCAATGCCTTCTTCAGACCACCAGGGTTACCAGGCACAAACACAGTACACAGACATACAGTTAAAAGACAAACACTCACATAAAATTAGAGAAGTCTAAGCTGGGCAGCTGGGGCACATGCCTTTAATCCCAGCACTTGGGAGGCAGAGACAGCTGGATCTCTCTGAGTTCAAGGCCAACCTGGTCTATAGATCGAGTTCTAGGACAGCTCTAAGGCTACAAAGAGAAATCTTGTCTTGAGAAACAAACAAACAAAAGATAAACAAACCAAAATGACACATGTCTTAAAATTTTTTAATGTGTCACTGGTTCCCTCCACAAAATCAGAAGATCCAACCTTGCTGCCCCCACTCTGCAAATGCTACACAAACGTCTGCACCTGGCATCTGCTGTGGGCAGACGGTAGGCCAGTCTGCCCACTCAAAGGGTTTCACAAGTGAAGCTCTAGCACTTCACGGCACCAAAAGAGCAAGGCCCATTTACCACACTTGATTATCTCCTCAATTTTGATGCTTGAGAAAAACATTTCTCTGTGTTATGTATGTTTTGAGGCAGGGTGTCATCTATTTCCAGGCAGGCCTCAAACCTTATGTAGCTGTAGCTAAGTCTCACTGGTTTTTCTCTTTTACCTCTGCCTCTACCTTCTAAGTAATGAAATTATAGGCATGCTCCACCACAACCAGAATAAAAATACTTAATTTTTTGAGAGAAACATTTTCATCATGGAGAGCTCTGGTAGCCAAGAAATGGTTATGTAGACCAGGCTGGCCTTCAGCTCACTGAGATTGCTCATCTCTGTCTCCTGAGTGCTAGGATTAAAGAAGTGATCCACCATTCCTGGCCTTAAGTCTAGAAGAAGCAGGCATCAGGAAGCAGCGGCAGATAGATCTCTGAGGCCAGCCTGGTCTACAAAGAGAGTTCCAGGACAGCCAGGGCTACACAGTTTAGAAACCCTGTCTCAAAAACAAACAAAAAAGTCAATTAAAATCTCCACGTTCCCCCACTATGTAAAGTTTAGCAAACTGTCTTCATGACAACTACCACTTCTCTAAGAGAGGTTCTGGGGAAGTATGAAACTACTAACCTATTTCAATGAGCTCATCTCATCCCCTGAAGCAATTTACATGGACCACTGGCTCACCCTCTAAGAGAGGCTCTGGTAACAACCTTGATGGGCCAGCTTTAAGAAACAAAACTCACGTCAGTGAAATGGCTCAGTGGATAAAAGTGCATGCTGTGTAAGTCTGGTAGCCTGCAATCCATCCCTGGGACCCTGTAAGTTTTCCTACACACCCCCACATGAGCAATGTGGCACAAACACCCCTCTCCCAGATAGGAAATGAAATGTAATAAAGAAAAAGGAAAGAAAAGGAATGAATCATAAACCTTAGCAGTCCCTTTTAGGATGTGTGTCAGAGCAGCCACAAGCACTCGTGTATAGGTCAGTAACTAGTGTGTTTGAAAGTTTGACTCAATTTCATTAGTTGCTCATTTTCATATTTATTTGAAATCAGGTAAAACACACCCCCACTCCCAATGGGTGTCATTCAAAGAATCAGCTTCTGCAGCTAATCAATGTAAAGATACAAAGACACAGCCCCAGTCACCATCTACTATGCAGACATAAGCCAAGAAGGAATCCACTTTATACAACAAAAATCTGTTATTAAGTAAAAAAAATGTTTAGATATTTCTAAAAGAAATTTTTGTGTTTCAGGAAGATTTCAGATCAGTCTATTAATATTATAGTTGCTTTCTTCTCCATTCTCATAAATTGGGTTTTCTACGTCTTTGTAAATTAAAAAACTTTAAGAAAAACAACAAAACAAGATAAGAAAAACCTTGATAAGCTTGCTGCTGAATAAATTCCATCCGACACCGTGGGTGAGGTGACAGAACTCAGAGCGGAGTCTTCCTAGAACAGACTTCAGGGAAGCATCAAAGGGCAAACAACTACTCTAGCTCTTCTCCATAAACAACAGGACTTTCCACCACCATGGAACTTCATAATTATATATAAGTATAAATTTAAAAAATGCCTCAATGTTTGAGGTGATCCTACACATAAGGTTTTGTTGTGTGTGGAGGGCAGCGTCTCCCTCCATCATCAACCTTATTTTTAAAGACAAAGTCACTTGGTGAACCCAGAGTTCACAGACTGATGAGCACTGGGTTGGGAAGATCCACTTCTCTCTGCCCTGCCTTTCCCCACCTAGTAGGAGGGTTACAGACATGCTGGGATCCAAACCCAGCTCCTCAGGCTTGTGCAGTGGCCACTTTACCATGCCCTGGGTAAGTGCTTTAAATTGTACAATGGGAAAACCCAGGAAAGTCCCAATAGTGCTCAAAGAAATGTTCTCTTTGCATGTCAGGAATTTCAAACAGAAAGTAAAGTGAAAAATGTATTTGCTTTAATATACATACATACATACATACATTTGTACTTTCAACTTAGCTAGAAAGTACTTAGTAGAAGCTAATTTGCTACCTAAGACCTAATCCTTGAAATAATTAGCACCTGTATTTCAAGTACTAGAAAGGCTGAGGCAGGAGGACCAAAAATCTGATATTTGGCTGGTGAGATAATTTAGTAGGTGAAGGCACTTGACCCTAAGCCTAACAACCTGAAGTCCTCAGGATCCTCATGGTAGAAGGACAGGACCAACTCCCACTAGTTCTCCTGCGACCTATATACCCAATCAGTATACACATACTGGGCTATGTGCACCCCCACCCATACCCAGGAAATAAATACATGTGTTAAAACAAAACGAACCAGCAAAACCCCAGAAGTTTGAGGAAAGCCAGGCACAGTAGAGAATGTGAGGTAAAGGGCAGCCTCGTCTACACAGAGGTCCAGGCAGGCCAGAGCTACACACTGATATCCTGTTTCAGCAAAACAAAAAGAGCTCGAGGCAAGCCTGGGCTATATAGTTAAAATGTCTTTATTCAACGAAGTCTTCTTGATGTTCTTTGAAATACATATACGTGAAGTGAGGGCCCAATGAAGTGACCTCAGGCACATCACCGCTAAGCTACACCCAAAAGTTCCTATGTTTTTGTTGCTGTTTTTTCTTCTAAAGAGTGGCTTATGTATTTCTCTTGCTTATACTTTCTTTTTCTTCCAACAGGGTCTTGTGTTGCACAAGAAAACCCAGGACCTGGTGATGGGGAATAGCCTGCTGTATATGCTTCTCTTATTTGTTGATGAATACAACAGTGATTGGCCACTAGCCAGGCAAGAAGCATAGGCAGGGGCCACCAGACCAGGAGAAGGCTGGGGAGAGGGGACAGAGAGGCCACCTAGAGACGCCATGCTTCCCAAGGAGTAACATGATGGATTACAGGTAAGCCACAGCCTTGTGGCGATACACAGATTAATAGAATTGGGTTAATAATTAAGACAGAGCTAGCCAGTAAGAAGCCCTGGACATCAGCCAACAGTTTATAAATTTAGACACCCATGTGTCTCAGCATGTACACACCCCACACCCACCATAAATAATATACTTACTTTAGTTCTGTAGAAAAGCCTCGCATCTTCCCTAATATCACATTTAACATGCTTTTCCAAAGCCCCACAAAGCAGCACGAAGTGTTTCTATGTAAAACAAAACAAATGTAATAGATGATAGATGAAAACAATTCTAAGTCTTTTTTTTTTTTTTTTTTTTTTTTCCCCTGGTTTTCTGACACAGGGTTTCTCTGTATTGCTTTGGAGCTTAATTCTGAAGTCTTGAAAAGTAAAGACTATGCAGTTAAAAACAAAACAAAACAAAAAAAAAACTAAATCACTTAAAACTTACTTGATGGAGTCCCAATAGTGAAAGGTGTTGATGTTCATAAGAACATTATGATTATGGATCATTGCTAGTTAATTAAAAAAATATACAAAGGACCAGGTATTGGTCCTTTAATCCCAGCACTTAGGAAGCAGAGCAGGTGGATCTCTGTGAGTTTGAGGCCAGCCTGGTCTACAGAGCTAGTTCCAGGACAGGCTCCAAAGCTTTCACAGAGAAACCCTGTCCTCAAAAACCAAATAATAAAAATTTAAGCACACACACACACACCAGGGGTGGCACAGCAAATGCTTAATGGTTCTAGCTATTAGGTAGGCTGAGGCAGGAGAACCAGTTGAAGATCACTGTAACAAATTTCTTTTGGGAAAAATAAAAATCCAGCCCCTTAGAATCATTCAGGGGTAAAGTCCCTGCTGACAGGCCTGACCGGAGCTCAACCCTCAGCGCCCACAACACTGCCTTCCATGTGGGCTTTGGCATGCTCATGTGTACATGATGTAACTCCTACTACTTTTCCCCACCTTCTGAGTGCAGAGTACTGGGATTACAGGCATGTGACCTGCCTCCTTGTCCTTTATTGGGCTTGGAGAGATGGCTCAGTGGATTTTGGCTCCTAGTATCCACATTAGCCATTTCTCAACTATGTTAACCATAGCTCCAAGGCTCTGGGGTCTTTGGCTTCCAAATGCATTTGTATATAAAGGCACACACACCTACATGAAAATAAAACTTTTTAAAAGTTAAAGAAAAGAAACTTTATTATTGAGTAAGTATGCGTGCCTTCATGGGCATGAGTATATCACTGTATGTGTGAAGGTCAGAAACACCTTTTTAGAGCTGGTCCTCTTCTTGGGAAGTGAACTAGGGTTACTAGGCTTGCTTAGGAAGTGCTGTACCTGCTAAAACACCTTGTTGGTCTCTCCATGATTTTTTAACTGTGTTCTTTTCTAGTTTTCTGAGAGGTGTTTGCCTATATTATTGCCTTGAAACCTTAGATGTAAGCAATCCTCTTACCTATTCTCCAGAGTAGCCAGGATAAGCCACAACATCTGGCCTAATTTTCTGTCTCTCATCAATACTTAATATTGAATATGGTGTCTCCAACAAGCTAGAAAGTGTTTTATCACTGAGATACACTCCTTTCCAAACTGGCCTTCAATTTGTGATACCTGCCTCAGCCTTGGGGGGCAGATGGGAATACAGGCTTGTACTACTTGCTTTTTTCCAGTTTTTTTTTTTCCCTCCATTTATTCAAGACAAGGTTTCTCTGTGTAGCCTTGGCTATCCTGGACCCTGTAGACCAGGTTAGACTCACAGAGATCTGCTGGCCTCTACCTCCTGAATGCTGGGATTAAAGGTGTACCCTGTGTCCATGCCACTGTAAGATCTCACAGCCTTGGCTGGCTTGGAACTCATTATGTAGAACAGGCTAGCTTCAAACTAATAGAGACCTGCCTATCTCTGCTGGGATTAAAGATAAGCAATACCACACCAAACTAGGCCTGGTTTGGTGTTTTACTGTTTATTTTTCCTATTTCTGAGACAAGGTCTCACTGTATAGAAGTAGTTTTCAACCCGAGAGGCAAGACCCCTTCAGGTATACCTATCAGATTTCCTGTATACCAGATCAAATATTTATATTACAATTCATAACAGTAGCAAAATTAGTTATGAAGTAGCAACAAAAAAAATTTTATGGCTGGGGGTTACCACAACATGAGTAACTGTATTAAAGGGTCTCAGCACTGGGACACTTGAGAACCACTGCTCTATAGGCTAGCCTGGAACTCAGTATGTAGCCCAGGCAACAAACTCATGGTAATCCTCCAAAATTCTGGGGTTATAGGCACAAGCCAGTATAGCCAGCAAGCATAGGTTCTTCTTAATAGTGAATTAAATTTACTTCAAAAAGTTCCCTAGTTTGCAGAGGTGGTACATACCTTTAATCCTAGCACTTAAGAGGGGGAAGGAGGATCATAAGTTCAAGGTCACCCTCATCTACATCAGGAATTGGAGACCAGCCTGGGCTATGAGATACTAGCTTACAACACACAAAACAGTAGGCCTAGTAGTAGCACATGCTTTTAACCTGGTTCTCGGGTATGCTTGGATTAATGATGTACATACACTCCCATGCCTGGCTTCAAAAATGATATTCTTGCCAGGTGATGGTGGTCGTGGCAGCAGCATCACACAACTTTAATCCTCCTGCAGAGGCAGGAGGATTTCTGTGTGTTCAAGGACAGCCTGGTCTAAAAAAGAAAGAAATCTTTCTTTCTTTCATGTATATGTGTGCATGTATACCTTTATGCCAGAAGAGGGCATCAGATTCTAACAGAGATGAGTCACCGTATGGTTGCTGGGACATGAACTTAGGACCCCTGGTAGAGCAGCCAGTGCTCTTTAACTGCTGAGCCATCTCTCCAGCCCCAAAATGAAATTCTTAATATGGAGAGATAATTCAGAAATACTTGTTTGAAGTAGACTGAACAGTAGTTTAATTGTAACTTGGCAAACATTTCTAAGTAACATTAAAAAATTTAATTTTGTGTGTGTCCATGTGCCACGGTGTCCACATGGCAGAGATAATTCACACCTTGGCCTCTCTTTCCATCATGTTGCACCTGGGGTTGAGCTCAGGTTGTCAAACCTGGCAGCAAAGGATCTTTACACCACTAAGTCATCTCCCAGGTTCCTCTAAATAAACATTTTTAAAGGCATTTTAGTTTTCCTAAAGGAAAACAAAAGCGAGTGGAGTTTCAAAGGAAGAAAATGAGAATAAACCAGCTAAAAGCTAGTCTACTTGGCCCTGGTATCTTATGAACATATACTATTGCCAGGTTATGGTGACTAAGCTCTACTCTAACAAACAACTGTTGAGAAATAATTCTTGTCACTATAATTTGGTTGCAGGTACTATGACTCCTGGATTTCTACAGCAAAACCAGTCAACTTCCAAGTCTTAACACACACATGCTCACTCATTCCATCAATGGAAACATCTATTTATAATAACACTGAATATTACCTACCCGTTGTCCAGAAGAAAAAGAATGAGAACAACTAACTTCCCCAACTAAATGAAGGAGAACATAGGTCAGGTAGTATGCCTGTTAGAGAGACAAAGAAAATTACTACCCATAAAAAAGCCAGCATAATACCACCCCAGTCTATCAATTAGCAAAGTTGCTCAGAAGAGACAGGATTTAGCTTTGTGTGAGAAAGGAAAAGCCATTCATTTAAACCAGACTTTCTGGTTTCTAAATTAAGTGCTTTGTTTTTACCACCTTATAACTGTCTTAGTACAGGGTCACAACAGAGCACATTCAATTACTAACATCTGCTCTTTCACCCAGCTCTCAAGTCTGAAGAATTTTCTGACAGCAATAAACTCTAAAACATTGTCTACTGTATGCCCCTATGCATTCTCCGAGCTCTAACTCTAGATACCTGCTTTTCTAGTTCTAAATGAAGGCTGTCATCAATAGTTCCATTTGGTTCTTCAGCCTTTTTCTTCAAGACCATTTTCTTCAACAAATCAGAAGGCTTCATCTGCACTAAATATCGGTGTAGAACTGAGATCTATCAAGGGAAGAGAGACTCGGTCAATTCTAGTACATGCTTTATCTTGAGCTAATCCCAGGGTGCCCACGATCACTTTGGCTCCTTTTCGTGGCTTGGTAGTTCTATAATACCCATTTTTCTCTTTATGTGAAAGTCCTCGATAGCTTAAGAAGGTGTTTTATGTTAAGATTTAGTCTTTGTAATTTAGGTTAAATGCTTAGAACAAAATCAAATGATATTATAATAGAGGTCATTTAATTCTAAAAGAGAAGTACTATGTCCAATATGGTGGCTCATGCTTACAGTTCCAACACTTGATGCTGAAGCAGGGGGATCACTGGGAGTTCAAGGCTGACTGGGCTATTAGTGAGTGGCAGGTTCGGTTGACATCAAGTAGTAAGCCTGATGGCTAATTATTTTATGCAGTTCTCTTTTCTATAGATATAAAGGAAAAGGCGATAGACAAGATCCTTGTGGCTATAAATATTGCTGAACAGGATGAGGATTTTTAATTATCTTGTGGCTCAGGAACGGTGCCCATGTATCTGCAACCAAATCCATTTCCAACTAACCAGAGTGGCATGGTATCTTGTGCATATTCTAATACTGCTCTCACACATAATGGTTCATACTACTAGATTGTGTCTTCCAGAGCATAGTCTAATTTTTTTTTTTTTATTTATTCCTAGGACATAACCTAATAACTCATAGTGAACTGCAATTCAAACAAGAATAATACAGGGACACACAAAGTTTTATGAATTTTCAAATCCAACTAAGGGCAGTCCTTGCCTTAAAGTTTCTATTGTGAAAAGACATCATGACCACAGAACTCTTACAAGAAAAACATTTAATTGGGTGGGGTAGCTCGATTACAGTTCCAGAGGTTCAGTCCATTATCATCATGGAGGGGGAGCATGGCAGATATGATGCTGGTTACATCTTGATCAGAAGGCAACAGGAAGTCAACTGAGACACTGGGTAGTATCCTAAGCATAGGAAACCCCAAATTCTGCCCCCACAGTGACACATTTCCTCTAATAAGGCTTACCCACCCCAACAAAGCTATACCTCCTAATAGTGCCACATCCCATGAGATTATGGGGGCCAATTACACTGAAATCACCACAGTCCTATTAGTGCTATTAAGTTTGCAAAGTTATGAGAACTCAGAGTGATGTTCCTGTAAGATACATTTACATGTATTCATATATATCTGTCATGTCCTCTATTGAACAGGTACTGGAGGCAAACCACATTAAGTTCTATGATCCATAAAGACCACTTAAATTAAAAAAGGTGTAAGATGTGGTTAATACTTTGCAATTTCTAATCCTATGACCACAATTTCTAATCCTGCTACTCCTGGGAAATAGAATACATTCTCAATGTCATACCTGCTAAAAGCACATTATGATTTTCTCAGTTTATTTACAGATTAATTCATCTGTCTATAACTGTCCTATAGGGTAGAGGCTATACCATCTCCATTTTATAAGTACAATGCAAAAGATCACCTAATCATTCTTACAGTTAAGTTTAATCAGGACTTAAATCCATCTACCTCTGCCTTCCAAGTGCTGGGATTAAAGTTACTAGACACCACCACCCAGCCTTAGTTTTGGTCTTCTGAGACAGGGTTTCTTGCCTTTGTAGTGCTGGGATTAAAGGCATGAGCCACCACATCCTGCTAGTTAGGAATTCTGATTTAGGGTTCATCAAATTTCCCAACATCTCACTAACTCTCCCATTTATTACAAACAAAAGTGTATTTATACCTGAAGATTATTGATATTAGGGATATCTTCCTGTTTTTCATCCAAAAGCTTTGAAATAATCACCAGACTGAGACACTGCCTCAGTTGCCTAGAAGTAGAAATGAAAAGTTTTTATAATGTGTTCAAACAATATAATTTGACAAGCAAGCAAATGAGCCAAAAGGAGCCATAGTCTTTCAAGGTTTTTGCAGAAGCAATTAACTGTTATAGAACATCGGTGTTCATGTAAAATATGTGTACACCAAGTTATGCCTGCCTAGAGCTGGGGATAGTTCAGTGGCAGCATGCCTACCCAGCACGCCCTGAGTCCTGGTGTGACAGCACACATCTGCAATCCTAGGGTTTAGTAGGAAGATCAGAGTTCAAGATCACCCTCCCCCACATTGTGAGCTCCAAACTCAGCTTGCTCCTAAAAACTTATCTCACAAAAGCAGAAAAGACAGCCGAGTGTGGTGCACTTGGGAAGGCAGAATCAAGCAGATTTGAGTTCAAGGTCAGTATGGTCTAAAGAGAGTTCCAGAGCAGCTAGGGCTACACAGAGAAACCTTGCAAAAAGCAAATTAATTTTTGCTATGTATCACCTATACCATCAGTTCTCAACCCCCGGCAGTGGGGTGTTGGTGGTGGGGGTAGTTCGAATGACTCTTTCATAGGGGTAACATATCAGATATACTGCACAACAAATATTTACATTATGAGTCATAACCATAGTAAAATTACAGTTATGAAGTAGCAATGAAAATAATTTTATGGCCGGGGGAATCACAATATGAGGAACTGTATTAAAGTGTCACAGAATACTGACTTATCTGATAAGCTGAAAATAAAGCCAAGAATAGTCATGTTCTGAATCAAGTAACATAATCAGGATTTCTACACATTTCCCCTCAATAAAATAAAAGAAGTTTCAAAGAATGATGAGTAGAAACAAAAGTCCCAAGGTGGGTATGGTGGCGTAGGCCTGTAAACTGAACACTCAGGAGAGGCTGAGGCAGGAGAATCATGAGTTTGAGGTCACCTGAGGCTACATAGTTAAGACCTTGTTTCACAATAAAAATTTCAAAGCATTTAACTAGCAGGAGCATTGTAAAACATCTTGATGCTTATCTCACTTTTCAATACCTTCCACGAGATGTCCAGTTAGGGACCAGCTGTACCAACCACAGAAGGTTGTGGGGATGACTGGAGAGTTCATTTATGCCCAGGCAGAGTTCATGCACCTGGAAAAAGAGAACATTGCCCAGATCAGATCTACAGGCCTTCCTGCCTTAATGGAAGTCACTAAAACAGAACTGTGAATTATGAAAATGCATGCCATTTAGAACCTACTAAACTGCATATAATACAAATTCTGTTTTTTTCTTAAAGTACCCTAGACCCTAGAATGGTCACATACATCTGCTAGGGTTTCATATCACTCTCATGTTGTTGCTATACTTTACATATTTGGTGGTCCTTCTTGAAAAACAATAAAGTATTGAAATACCAGTTTTCCAAAGTGTGTATAACAACAACAACAATAACAACACCACCCACACACAGAGAGAAAGAGGATCATACATATTCAAGGCCTGAAAATTCTTGCATGCTTGGATCCTATTACAGTAATTTTGTTTTCTTCTGCTATGGAGTCCAGCCTTTCACTTACTAGGCACGTACGGATGCAACTACTGAACTATGCTTTAGTTCTCTAGCCATCCTTGGCGCAACACCTAAATTTTAAGAAATGTTACCTTTGTGTTCCAATCTCTGATGTTTTTCATGAGATTTATCAGGAGGCTTTGAAAGTCTACTAATGGAATCTGTTTCAGCTCTTTTTCCAAACTCATTTTAAATAGCATTAAAATCAGCAACATTATTTCTCGATCTTGGTAACCTTCCGGATGTATAGATGTACACAAGCCTAGAAACTGTCAGAAATGCACAAAGAAAAAATATTACCTATTACCTCAAGAGTTTAAATTTTATTCTTGACAAGATTAAAAAAAAAAAAAAGAAAAAGCTATCCCCTCCCCAACTATCAGATGTTTAGAAAAGGCAAGAAACGCAACACAAACAGTAGAATGAAAAGATAAGTATTTTCCATTTTTCAATATCATTGATTGGATTCAGCAACTAAATATTTTCACACTGCAATTAATTCTTGGTCACTAAACTATACTGTAACTTCTGACCTGAAGTTCCCTTTGCTCATAATATTAAAATAAAAGAAAAATGCATTTATAATGGAAATACAATTGCTAAGACCTTTTACTTGGGAAGAAACCAGTGGAATTTTAAACAACCACAAAACCGATTCCATCTGTGTGCTACAGATATACAAAGTCTTTCATACCTTAACTACATTTAGAATGTTGGTTTCAGGTAGAGTTGAAAAAACTGGATTACAAGACAAATCTTCACTTCCTTTTTCCCCCAGCGTTTTCCGTGTTTCAAGACTATATAGAAGGGAATAAAGCATGTGTTTCAGAACAAAAGCAGTAGGAAGGCAGGTATGAAATAGTGTAGCAAACTCTGAACAAGTACTTTTAAGTCAGGGTCTCATTTTGCTGCCTAGGCAAGCCCTAAACTTATCCTCAGCTGCCCCCACCTCCCCAGAATCTGGGATTACAGGTGCATGCTACTGTACCCAGTTTAGTTTTCATTTGAAACGGCTACTTTCCTTAACGCCCCAAGTCAGAAAGCTAGGAAAGACAGGGCTGACATAACAATTAATGAACTGATGACTCTTACAAGCCCTCTGAGTGGCTGAAAGAAATTGCCAAACTAACACGAAGAGGCCATCACAGAGGCTAAGGAGATGTCTCAGTGCCATGCAAGCATGAAGCCCTGAGGTCTGAAGCCCTGTGCACCTTGTACAACCCCATACATGGCTGTAAGTGTCTGCAACTGCAGCATTGGGCATGGATATGTCCCAAGAGCTCACCAGCTAGCCTAGGAGAAGGGCAAGCTTCTCCTAGGTTCAGTGAGAAGCGCTTGCCCCAAGGCAACTGTGTGGGAAACCATATAGAGACACTCAACCTGCTGTGGCCTCTGCATGTGCATACAGAGGAGTAGGGACACACATGTACATACCACATATAGATACATGCACACATAGCAATTCTAAGCATTTGAAAAAAGAAGATGCATGAACTTGGATTTTTAATTTTTAATTGTGTGTGTGTGTGTGTGGATTTGTGCACTGAGTACAGTGCCAATGGAGGCCAGAAGAAGGCATGGGAACCCCGGACCTACAATTACAGACTCTGGGGAACTAAGCTCAGGCCCTCTGTAAGAGCAGTATGAGCTTTTAACCACTGAGCAATATCTGCAGCCTCGGATTTTGGCTTTTGAGATGTATTTTTACTTGAAACAACAATAAAAATCCAACAATATTCATTTTGCAAAACAAAAACAAAAAAAAAAAAAAAAAAAAAAAAAAAAAAACAAACCTCACAACGTTATCAAATGATTTGCCTCCCCAACTAGACTCTTTTAGCCACTTGTTTCTTCCCTTGGCTGCTATTAGTCTTAGTCTCTCCTTCTACAAGCATCTTACATATAAAAAGCAAACACGAACACAGGACCCTGTGCTTTGTGAACATACATTTGGTCTTTGTTCCAGGTTCCAACAAGAACTTAAGTGCTGAAAACTCCCTTCATGCAGATAAGGCAACTTGTGAAGACCACACTAACCTGTGATTAGAGGTAAGGAAGTTCCACACAGAGGGACTAGAGATCAAATTGATCATGAAATGGGCAATGCTTTTATCCATTGCCCTTGTGCAATGGAACCTCTATAAGAACTAAGTTGGACTGGGGGAGACGGCTTGGTGGTTAAAAAAAGAACACCCACCCCACCCCATTTTGATGTTTGGGTGAAAACCACAGATGTGGTGTCAGAACTCAATGTTTTCAGCCTTTCACAGTGGTCCTCTGAACCCACTTTACTACAAACAGTGGCATCGTATATACTGTTCTCTAGCTCCCTGTTTCCTTTTAGCAATGTGCCTTGAAAATCCCTCCATACCTTCCTCCTTCTCTTTTGTGCCCCACGACCTTTGGCAGGGGCTCTTGCATGAGCATGACAGGGGTTTACGTCTCGGCAAGGCTGTTATTGGCAGCCACAGCAAAGAAAAAGGCGATCCTGCTCTTCTTGTAATCACATACTGATTACAGCTCCACAGTAACCACTGCTAAATTTATAGGACAACAGCCATGTCATGCCAGAAGACAGCCTCCCACAGCTTTCCTTCCCAGCTTCCAACTCGCACACTCTTTCTGTCCTCCCTTCTGTGATATTTCCTGCACTTTTTTGTTTTTGAGATGGTCTCACCCTGTTCAGGCTAGCCTGGAACTATGTAGCCCAAGCCAGCTTCTAATTTGTTTATCCTCCTTCCTCAGCACCTCATAAGCTGGGATTACAAACCTGAGGCATCATACTTACTTAAAGGGGGGGGGGGGAGCGCCAGGTATTGGGATCTCTGTGAGTTCAAGGCCAACTATCTACAATGCAAATTGCAGGACAGCCAGGGTTACATAGAGAAACCCTGTCTTAAAAAACCATAACAAAACAAAAAAGAGCCTGACATACAAGTTTAACCCAGGGCTACACAGAGAAACTTTGTCTCAAGAACAAAAACAAAACAAAAAAGAAAAAAAAGAAAGAAAAACTAGGTAACTGTAGCCATGGCTGCCCTAGAAATTCCCATTTATCATTAAGTGAGACTTGAACTCACAGCATTCCTCCTGCCTCAGCCTCCCAAGTGCTGAGATCACGGACGGGTGTGAGGCACCACACGCTGCGTTTGTTCCCTTTTTACAAGTAGCATCTTAGTGGACTTTACTGGCCCCTCTGTATAACTTCCAGCAAATTACTTCATCTTCCTGTGCCCAGCTCACTTGTAACATGGGAATGAATTACTAGTAATATCTGTAGTTAACTGTATGAAGATACTATGTTAACCCTTCAAGGTGTCTGGCATACAGCAAATACTATATAAAGGCAGTGATGCAACTATGTGCAAAAATAACAGGCACATCAGTTTGGTAAGAACAAAAGAGGAAATTGTTCAGAGGCCCAGCATTTCACAGCTCTTAGGGTTAAGCTGGAAGACCTCAGCTTGAGCCTAAACCGAGGTAATATAGTGACCCTTATCTCCGGGGAGGGGGGAGAGGGGACAGGAAAAACAGAAAATTGGTAATTAAAATAAAAAACCGCAGCATATTATGTAAAAGTGCAGATTGTCTAACAGTGAAGAGTCTTGGAGAAAGATATGCTAGAAAAAAAAAAAAAAAAAAAAAAAAAAAAAAAAAAAAAGATGTCTTGCAGGTAAGCCATGGGAGAGGATCTGACTTAAGACTGACACTAGGCATACACAGGAAGAAACAGCTATGAGACAGGCAAAGGGAGAGAACACTGGCATGTGAGACTCAATGGGTTTAGCAACTGAAAATGGTAGAATGCGCTTCGGACTCAACTCTTCAGTCGGCTGGGACTGTGGTAGTCTTTGATGCTCCCCTCTGAACACAGTGCACTCACTCCTTCACACTGCTGTTGTGTAAAGTGTCACTGTGACTGCTTTAATACAAAGCTACATGGCTAACAGCTAGGCAGGGAGGGACTTCTGGGCAGAGAAAGAAAGGAGGAAGAGGGATTGAGGCGCAGAGATACCAGGGAGCACAGAGATGAAACAGAAGGCACAAAATGGAAGAGAGGAAGCGCCAAGGGATAGAACACAGGCTACATATATGGGTAAATTTAAGTTATAAGTGCTAGTTAGGAACAAGCCTAAGTTACAGGCTGGGCTTTCATAGTAAGTCTCCAAGCCATTACTTGGGAGCTGGCTGATAGGACAGAGAAAGACTCTACATATAGTGTCCAACATGGAGGCTCAAATATCCACACATAGGGCCTGAGAATGCCAAGCAAATTCTGGACAAGAAGCCTGATGTGGCTTACTAGTCCTGCAGTCTCTCAGGCAGGCTGGAGCCAGCCACTAGTGTTATGTGCCAGAACCGTGCATTAAGCTGAGCCAAAAGGTGGCTGACACAGCGGTTTAAGATTTGTCTTATGAGGTCAGAGAACACTACAGGTGCTTAGTAAAGCCAGGTCCCAACAGGGAAAATCTCTAAGACGGAACAGTATGTTTAAAAATGTGCTTAGATGCTAAAGAAAGAAAAGAAAATGGGTTCGGATAGTCATAGAAAAAAAATTAGAAATAGCGTCTTTAAAGAGAGAATAAAGTAATATAAAAGGAAAAAGATGGCAAATACACAGATTGTCTGGAACCTGTATGGTGCTTTATTGACTTTTAAATTGTTTAAATGCTAATGAACAACAAAAACAACAAAAAACCAAATAGCTGCTGAGAGACATTGGATTATGAAAACTGCTAAATTAGGGATTAGAGATGTGGCTCAGTGGTTACAAGCACTGGCTGCTTTTCCAGAGGTCCAGAGTTCAATTTCCAGCCATCACATGGTGGCTCACAAACATCCATAATGAGATCTGGTGCCCTCTTCTGGCCTGTGGGCATGCATCATACATACAAACAAACAAACAAAACTGCTAAATTAAACTGACCTACATATTTTAAGAATGTCTTAAGTTCAGAATGGGATTCAAAAAGTGTGTTGCATTGGGAAAGATTATGCTTTTGTTTCCACAGAAAACAAAAAGCTATGGCTCTCTTAAAAATAGAGAGCAGATTTGACTGGGGAAAGAACTCCTGAGGATCTTTGCTATAGACAGAAACCAAGAAAGACTACAGGACAGGTGACATATGTGCTGAGCCTTCTACTATGGGAAGAACTCTAAGAGCCGATGGGACATGATAAATTTTGTTGGTAACAGAGTCCTTGTGACTTATTACACATGCCATCCTTTCCTATGACATGGATGAAGATTTAGTTTGGTTATAAAGTACAAAAAGACATAAAATTGACAGATGCCTTTCACCTGCTCAAATACAGAACAGAAAATCTTTAGCTGACTTGTGTACAGCATACATTCCATACTTGTGTTATTACAAATATATATGTGTGTATATGTACAATACACATACATATATACATACATATCCTTTAAAAGTTTGTGATTTTAGAAAACAAAACAAAAACAAAACAAAAAAAAAGACTAAAGAACAATGAAGACATCCACTTCTCAATATGCCTGTTACACTTTCCCCAAAATTCTGCAACCACTACTACTCCAATGCTGCTAGGTGAGATAGTCCAGCCTCAGAGACTACTCCCGCCAAGGCTTCAGATAAGCTCTAACTTTCCTATCACACAGAGACTAAACAAACAAGCAAACAAAACAACTAGCTCTCCCAGGATTCCCTAGAGATACTGTCATCCCCAGACAACAGGAAGCAGTTTATGGAACACAATGCCCACATTCCCAAGAGGTGGGATGGATGCTTTTTGGTCGTTCAATGGATTATGGATGTTC